TAGGGGATTGAGCACTTTACCTATTTCCATTTGTAACTGGAGCTGACGCACCAGTTCAAAAGGAATATTTGCAGACATTGTCTCATTGATTATGACACAGGGAAAGTGCCTTTTTTCCGACTTAGATAGGGAGGTATTTGGAAGGTATTAAAATGGGTGTTTGGTATGTGAATCTGTGTTAGAATCTGGAGGGGCATCCATCTCTTATTTTTCTGGATTTATAGAGGTGTTGAATCAGACTGGAAAGCACTCTCCTAACAGCTTGTTTCCTGTTTACCCCCCCGACGCCCATTTAGTACCCAGTCCAATCTAATTCCTCATCCTGGCATTTCTGCCTTTATGTAGCCCTGACTGCTTGCGTCCGTCTCTCACTCTGGACCAGCTGACCTTACTGACCATTCTGTCTAGACGCGCGTTCGTTCCGCCGGGCCGTGACTCAGCCCGTGCTGGCGTACTCGGCTGAGGTACGTAGGGAAATGTAGGCGGGCCAGAGCCAGCAGAGGTACGCAGGCTCTGAGCCAGTGCGCCATTCCCAGGTGTTCGAGTACAGCTTGCAGACGGTGTGTCCACTGCCTGCAGACATCAAACTGCATTTTCGGGGGTTTGACCTTCTGCCAGTTTCCCAGGTGGGAATAGTGGGGTGGGCCTTAAGGGACTGCAGGTGGCGGCAGACAGGAGCAGGATATCCTCTTTCTGCGTAGCCCTACGCGCCCTCTTCCTCTCCAAGATCACAGCCCCACATGCAGGTCACGGGCACCTCACCTTACCTGCGGCCGGAGAGCCGGGTAACAGAGCCACAGTTTAACACACACCCTATTGCTTTGCCCTCAGGTAACCCTAGTTAGCTGCCTGGATGCCTTGGACCTCGAGGTGCCTTTTAAAAGCAGAATTGGGGGGGTGTTAGGGAATGAGTTTGACCCAAGAAGCGTGACATGTAAAGGACACCTTTGTTGTTCCAGTGTTTTTGAAATAAAGACTAGATAGAAAATGACATATAACTTGATAGCTTATTTTGTTATTAAATCATTCCACATTAAAATCCAAGAACGTATACCTCTGGAAATTGAGACAAGAATTGATGCCTATTTTATGTATGTGTTTGTGTATATATGTATATACATGCATTATTTATGTATAATGCAAGAAATGTTCTGAAGATGCAAACCACCTTATGTAATGTTTCTGGATAAAGTAAAAATCTGAAGGACTCAGGTTAGATGCAGTCGATACTGCAGAATTAATTATCCAGGGCAGGAATTAGACCTTTACTCCTCTTAGGCCACAGGCTAGGCCAAACGTTGTTCCACCTCACCTCTTAATTGCTTAATTAAAAGTCATTATTTGGTTCCGGTTACGTTTCTGAAAAGCCAGAAGTCCTGTAGACATTGTGATAAAGTAGCCCCCACCCTAGCGGTGCGTGTAATGAAGCCATGGAGGCAGCCGTTAAATAAATATATAATGTAATAGGGGTTCAATGACTCTGACCACAATATAAAGGCCATATGCGAAATGCGTCCTCTAGAGGCTGAGTTTGAAGGAGCGGAGGAAGAAAAAAAGAAAAAAAACCTGAAAATGGCACTTTGTGGGAAACTGCTTAGAGGTGACTTGAGTAGAATTCCCAGGGTTGCACGGGAACCCGAGGCAGAATTGAGACCAGGGACTTGCATTGTTGAGAACCTTTTTGGAAAGGAGGGCAAATTACACTGATTAACCCACCTGTTACAGGGGGCATTCAAGGCTGAGGCTTTCCCTTAGATTTTATTTAATCGTTTTTTGGCCTTATCTCTCCAGAATCCCCTGGGGCAAGGTCCTTTCTCACGACTACCTAGTGCAGGGAAGGAGAGAGTCTGGGACGGGGAACTGAGGCAAGGGGCAGAACAGAGGCACGTGTGATTCTTGGCGTAGTCTGCCTCTAAAGGGAGGGCTGTACGTGGTGTCTTACGTTGTTACATGCTTAGGATTTGTAACAGTGTTTTCATCGATACAGCGACTGTTTATGATTCTCTGCATTTTCATGATGGCTGAACCCGTAGAATCTTGCAAAATAATAGTGAGTGATTTGTTGTGTGGGATTTGCTGTGTTGTCTTTTTCAGAGTGACTTGGAAATAGTTTTGCAAATTTTTTACTTTAACAATTAAAAAAACATTATTTTAGCGTTAATGGTTTGAGCACAAGAAGTTCAGTTTGAGGGCTGAAGTGGTTGTTCTCCACATCAAGCCTCTGTCCCACATTTCATGTGTTTTAGTGCTGGGTTTGTGTCCTGTCCCTCCCCAAGGTACCACTGCCTGGTGACGAAGTACGGCAAGCTGGCCCCGCTGGCGGACATTGACCTGCGGCCGCGGTGCCGCGCTAAAGTAGAGGTGCGCTACGAGGACAGGGTGGAGGTGCTGAGCATCCGGCTGGACCAGACGGTGGCCGAACTGAAGAAGCAGCTGAGGACGGTGGTGCAGCTGTCCACCAACAACATGCGCCTCTACTACATCGACAAGGAGGTGGGCTGTGCTTTCGGACCTGAGGAAATGAAGTATAGCACCCGTGCGCTGCACAACTACAGCATCCGCGACGGGGACGAGATCCTTGTGGTTCCGAAATCCAAGTGACCGTTTGAGTCCCTCCCTGCTGGGATGGGACAGCTCTCTTTCTTTTCCCCACACCCCCCCCCCCCTCCCCATCCCGGAACACACACCACCCCCCCATCCCCCCCCACCAAGGCTTCACACACACAATCAGCGTAATCATTCTTTACTACTGTCCCCTGTTGTTTTGTTCAGGAAGTAGGCTGATTTTTAATTTATTCTGAATGATTTGTCCTTGTGACATTACCTCGTCTTCAAAGAGCTGCGCCTGTCTTGCTTTAGGCGGGAATCGTGCAGGGGGGGCTTAACCACTGGGTGTCCAGACAATCTTCTAAGGGGGGACAGCCATGCTGGACTGCTGTTGAGGTGCATGTGGATGTCTTTGCTGGCAGCCTGTCCCACCTCAGGTGTCTACAAGAACTACTATTCACAGTTAGGCTCACAGTGATGAATGGGGTCACATAAAGCGTTGATTTCTTGACATTGACTGAAAAAGGAACATTGTTTTTTTTTTCTCCTTCACCTGTATCCTTCACTCTTTTTTTCAGATGGAAACCTCCGTAAAATTGAGATATTTCCAGATCACGTTAGTTTCAAATTGTTTCTCAGTAAAACTGACACAAAAGTGTGTTAGCTTAGAAGGTAGCACTAGTACTCCGCAATGGGAAATAAGGTGCTGAGGAGTACAATAAAGTTTAAAAACAAAGCAGTAAACACTCATGCAATCAATATATTTCAACATTCTTGTATGGTTACCAGAATAGCAATCCCAAATTGCATAATAATCATAATTGTATGGAAGATGTACAGGCCAAACCATCAAACGGCCAATTGGAACAGCTTTGGGTTGATTGTAGAATGTTTCGGGTCTACGTGACGTGTACGTCTTAAGAGTTGAGCATCGTAGTTAGTAACCCAAGGTTTTCTACAGAAATGACTGACATAACCTTATATGACAGATTGGCCTCTAGAAACTGGAAGAGTGCAGCAGGTGAGTGGATGTTGTAAGCACCGCAAGCTGACAGCCTGAAGCTCAGCTTGCTGTATCGGCTGGGATGAGACTCGTGGCCTAAACCCACTTGTTCACTTGGTTACCAAAATGTTTTGGCATTCCAAGGTAAATCAGCGGTGTGTTTGGTGAGGCTAGTTTTGTAGTTTTAGAGCTCACCTGTGCAGGAATATAATTTAATCACAGGTGTAAATACGGTAAATTACTGCTTATTAAATATCAGAGTTTGCTATTAGAGTGGAATGCACATACATTCTCTAGTGTCTGTTAGTGGTTTGATACATTTACCTGCATAAAGTGCTTCATTTAATCCCTGAGAAAATGATACCTACAGCCTTTTCATAACCTCTAAGCAGTGTTTAAGTAGGGTCTTGTTTTGGCAAAGGAAGTTGCTTTCCTTTATTCAGCAGGAACTGGAAAACGCAATCCTCTTTTTTTATCGCAAAAGTTTTAATCTGACAGATCTCACACTGTTAAAATAACAAACGGAGAAACACAGCGGGTGCATCCCAAAGGAGTCTTGAGATACAGTTTAGCTGGTCTTGAAGAAGCTTGGAGATGCTTCACGGGATCTTGGTCTCGTCTGAGCACCTGGTCCTCTGTGGACTGACCTGTCACAGTATCTACCCTCTTTGAATCGGCCAAGGCCAATTCGAGGGTTTTTGAGCCAGACTGGGCCACTTGATCTTTCCATTATACGTCTCCCTAAGACTTGACTACGTCTCCCTGGGGATCTTTGAAGGCCTTGAGGGAAATAGCCAGCTTTAACCCCTACCAGGCACCACTTTCAAAGCGACTTCCTGTGCATTGGGTTACAGGGGTATCCCCACTTAGGTCTCCATCCATCCCAAACCCCTTTAGTCACCCATTAAAGTGGACATGCAACACCTTGATCAGGATGGACATGCTCCATCAGAGATGGGGCCCGGTCCAGCACTCTTTTGGTTTTGGTGGGAGAGAGATCCTAACGTTTATCGCCATGAGTGCTAAGAACTGGTTCTCAGATCTCAGCCGGTGGTCTTAACGTTGCCATGCCAACTTGCCTGTCTTCAGACATCCCCAGTAATTGTACACAGTCTGGGACCAACCTTTAAAGGTTTTCTTTTGGTGTCTTTTTCTTCTGTGTATCTACCATTTTGTGTCAGCTAAGCTACTATCACACCATATTCCACCGCAAGAATTTTGAGATTCTCACCTTAATTAAAAGAGCACTGTTTTACTAAAGTTCACTGTGACTTAAACTGCTATTCAATTCCCAGATTCTGGAGTGATTACACTTTGAATTTGAATTGGTTAAACTTGATGTTATACAGTGTGCAGTGCAGCATGTGTAAAACAGTATCTGTAGAGTAAACATGCAATTTAACAGCCATTTTTTTTGTTTTACAAATGAAAGGTGGTCCTGATGGGAAGAACATTGCCACAACATATCTAGGAGATCTCTAATAGTATATTGAAGGTGTGGATTTTATGCTGGTGTTTCAGTAATTTTTATAAAAACGGAATATATTATGCTAATATAATGCGATTGTGTCTGAGGCACAGTTTGATGCTGTATTTTTATGACAAACCACGCCCTGCTTTCCTTGACCCCACAAACCACTGTCTGAAGGAATCGTGCGGACATCGACGCCAGCTGTGCGTAGCACCACATAGACAGATAGTGGGACGGGAAGTTAGGCGCTGTTAAATTTCTATTTGTGTTGTTTTGGGAGCAATTTTGCCAGTTACATTTATTTATTCCTTTGCACGGTAGATGCCATTATTGTAAAATTGTATAATTTGTATGTTTCTTTATTAATATTATCCAACGCGTGATTCAAAAGTTTGATCTCCTCACATGTTCCTTCACCAAATAAAATATTTTAAATTTATATTTATATATATATTTACATATATATATATATATATNATATATATATATATATATATATATATATATATATATATATATATATATATATATATATATATATATATATATATATATATTGTTTTGTTTTGTTTTTGTTTTTACCTTGAGGAATATTAAAATTTTGCTTGTATGATTTTCAAGTTTGTGATGTAGAGCTTTTTTTCCCAGTGCAATGCTACTTTGGAATTGGTCTCATTCGAGGCAGATTCTATTATTTATTTATTTTTAAGGTGGGGAGATAACCAGGACCATAGTCCATACAATGGGGCCGGCCTTATTATTAGCCAATATGTTTTGAATCTGTGAGTGATAGGGGAGGGGGCACTCCGTAGGCCAACCAGTTTTTAGATGGAGCCAATGCCCTTGTGGTCATTGGACTTTTTTCCTACCCATTATGGTTCTTTCATTGGACGACCTAATGGCTTAGAATTGTATAGAGGAATAGAGGAATTGAGTCATTGCTATGGAATGGGGGGGGGGGCTGTGCTTTAAGATTGAAATGTTTTAATTTATTCCACTCTTGAACAATGAAATGTTCTTCATTAATAATAGAGCTTTTCACACACCCCCCCCCCCCATCCATTAAAGGTCCATCTCAGCATTAGGACGTAGGAGACTGAACAGCAGCCTTGTAATCTCTCTGCTTTTAATGAAATGCTTTAGATAACTGTATGCACCCTTTTCTTTATCTGTTTATGACCAGTACTGAATTCCTTATATAATAAAGCCCTTTTTAAAGGGAGTGTACCGCATACAAGCTTTTAGCTGTGGTTTAAATCCAACCCTTTAAAAATGTTAATGCTGAGCAATGTACCCTACAAAATTATAATAGAGAAAACTCCAGTAAAATTTGTTTCAGTTTAAATATTCTTCCCTCTGCTTGTGTGTGTGTGCGTGCGTGGTAACTGCCCATATCTGGTATGTGGTTGTTGTGAGAGAGATCCCTGGAGAAAATGGGGCAAATGGGTGAGAAATTATTATTACACAAAGAGAGAGAATTGTTGCTCATATGCAATGTATGAAAGCAGGAGTGTGCCATTCAGGCTAATGAATAGAAGGAGTATATTTGGACAGAGGGATGATGCTGCTGAAGATGGATCCTCTCAGTGTCCTTTATTATTCTGTTATCACGAACAAACTTTCATTCAGACCTGAGAAAGGAACCGTCAGTCAGATTAAAAGGGTGGAAATGTTGCCAACAATGAAGGCCGCAGAACAGTAAAGTAGGACAACTGTACAACTATTTAATTTGTTTCTGTTTTTTTCTTTTTTGCTACATTGTGGAAATCTGTTTGATTTGCTTTGTTTTAACTTACTGAATGTGTTTTGCCTGACTGTATCAATGCTGATGAAGTGTTCAAAATGTGTTTGCTTGAAAATTATATTGAAAAGGTTGAAATATGTATGGGGAATCGTTATGCTTATGCAGTATATAAATGACGTTCAGGTTCTATGGTATGGACATTGTCTGGCAAGTAGGATTGTGAGGGACAATGGAGACTGCAGTTCTTCAAAGATGCTTCTTTCCTGGTACAGCTGTTCTGAGTGAGCTGCATGCCCATTTTGTGATTACCAAGATGGTGACAAACTGCTGGTTATGAGTTTTACCACAAACTTCAAATGTGTCGATATTTTATTTGATATCTAGATTACATTGTTGACAGTGCTTTGCCAAAGAAAACAGTTGTTCTTGAACAAAGACATGGGCAGAATGCTGTTCTAAGTGATTCTCTTGCCATTGCACAATGTTTTTTGCTCGCCACGTAGGTTTGCCACTGTGCCCAAAACCAGAAATACATGGCATTTTGTGAGCTCAAGTATATCCTCTGCTAGCTTAAGAGATGAGCAAGAGACAGCTTTTATGTGAAGGTAGCACATGCTGATTGTTTAAGGGTGTGAGTACTGTACATCAAGACAGCGGTTTGGCACAATACAGTATTGCAGTTCCAAGACCAAAATGGCCAAGAAGTATTTGTTACAATTTGCTTTACAGCTCATGGATGCTGAAATGTTTGTGAACCAGAAGAGCCACGATCCTTTTTGCGAGTCTCTTAGCAACCCCTATGAACTGATGATTTATTAAAACTTTAAGAGTTTGATTTTAAACCCGATTGTGTTGATATTATTTGGCTGTCTGTGGAGATGCAAATACTGCACATGGCTTTTATTTGAACACATCAAAAATCTTGTTCTGATGACATGAAATTCCATGCAGATTTATGATCACTTATGATGATGTTGTAATGGTAAATACAAGGAAGAACATCTTAGCATGTTTTTTTGAGGTAGTAAAATACGACTAGTAAATATGGAATTACTTCAGGGATTGTGTCCTCTAGTCTGGTGTTTTACAGTGTGACTGCCTGACCAAAGCCACCCTCAGGCTGGACCTCATCTAGTCAAGAACTACAACAAGTCAGTTCAAGAATGGTCAACATAACTGGTTATACAAAACCCAGAGATATTGGAAACTAGACTGATGAAGTGATTCATCAGCTGATATTATACTTGGTGTTGGGTCTGTCAGTTAATGTGACACACTCAAAAGCAAGCTAAAGTGGCAAATATAAACCTTATGGATATCAGAAGCCTTCACTAGACAACAGTAACTAAGACCATGGCCTCAAGAAGAATTGGCATGCAAGGAGTCCACACCTCCATGGCTATTCCCCTATATTAGCTCAACAGTGACTTTTTGCTCCTTGAGCTATATCCAGGAACTTGTTTGAGGGCAAACATGGCCAGATTGTATTCTGATACACCCCTGCTATTACAGAGCTAGACGAAGGGCAAAGCATTTTGAACAGAGGGTATTGTGTACCTCAAAAGACGGAGTCACCTACAAGAAGGTTTTGGTTACCTGTGGGGAACCTGTATTGTGAGCAAGACGACGGGAGGGCAGGTTTAGGTCAACTGATGGGTAAAGGGGGTTAGAAGGTGAAAATCAAGGGACAAAATGGGAATCGATCAGGTTCAGGTAAGCTGAATTCAAGTCTGCAACCCCCTGGGAAGATATGGTTTGGCCTACAACCCAAAACTAGGATGTTGACATTGGACCTCAACCTCCCTAATGTCAAAGTCTTTTGGATGCTGCAATGCTGCAGTTCTGTTAAGGGAATTGCTTGAGTTACATCAACTGATTCATATCTATGTCTAGCATGTTTTCTGAAGGATATGCACTTTCATTCTGCCAGTTGTTTGATATCAGGATTGGATGCTTTGAAATCCTTTATCCTAGCAGAATCATGTCCTCCATTTTCGTTAGTGGGACCTATCACCCTATCTTCCTCTCATGTCTTACACCATCACCACTAGTTCCTGACACTGATTCAACATGAGATGAGCCAATTTGGAACAGCAGGTCTATTGGGGCCTATTGGGACCTTTCAATTCCATAGTTGTGGTTAGGGGCTTTTGTAAATTTACAAGGATAAGACTTGGAGGTGTAAAAGAATCTGCCATTGAAAGCACCCCTACTTTGGCTTAGTCAATAGGAACTCAGGCCTCTTCAGTACTGATGCCTCTCATACATTATCCCCTATGCTCTCCTATTACCACTACTGTCCTTCCAACAATGGCCTTCTGACTCTACTGTGCTACTGTCCATTCCAAGCCTTTATCAACAGGGATTTCCCCACTGAAAGTCAATGCAATCTTTCAGGAATCTATGGTAATGAGTTTTCATTGTCTGGTGTACGTTGGAAAATGAGGTGATCTTAATTAGACAGAAAACAACAAGAACACATCGTTTTCCCTAAGTAATTCATCTTAATTGTGTAACTGCATCTCCTCTCGCGAGTAGTTTTCTACTTTTTCTCTGCGTGTAACATTTTACATCAGAGAGCGTACCCTACTGGGAGAGCAGTGGAAGGAATTACAACCAAGTCCAACAGGTTGACATTTTTTTTCCAAGCTCTGCTTTTTGTTAAAACACTTTTAGCTGCTTGGGAGAAAATAAGGTCTGGTTTCAAAGTTCCTCAGACCGTAGTCTCCTCCCCCTCTCTCTCACTGAACACACGTTCACCCTCTACACCTGCCCAACCCTCCCCGTTTCCCAAAAAAAGCTGATCTCAGATGAAGTTAAACACTATCCCTGTGAAAAACGGTAATGCGGTTTTCTGGAGGAACATATCCCAACGCTGTGTGATTTTTTTTTTCCCCCATTCACTTACTTTCCCTTGTTTTTGAAATTGATCAGGAGAGCCCCAGGCAAGGATTCAGTTTTTCTGCTGCCGTAATTACCAGTAATCCAAGGGAAGTGGACTCAAAGTGTTTTGCTAAGGTTGGACTCTCTGTCCACACGTATCCCCCACCCCCCACCCCATCCCTCCTCCCTGACTACCTGTCGTCGTCTTCACCCACACACTGGCACCCTGATAAGGCCGTGGATGTCTCTTGGTTTCATGGGAGAGTGGTCTGCGGTCCTGGGAACCCGGTGAGAGGTGTGATGCAAAGTCTATCTTCCTAACAGGTGAGTAAATCTTGAGGGCTTTCCGTCAGGTGTCCGCTTCCGTGCACCTGCACGCTGGAACGATGGAAGCTGTCGCAAAACCGAGGCATTTGTGCAGCTGTTGATAGTCCATAAAAATTTCAAGAATTTTCAGATTGGCTGCAATGAGATTTGAATTTTTTAAAGAATTGTCGTAGTTTTCTTTTTTGGCGAATATAAGTGTCCAGCAAACTATACTGCAAACCACCATGAATAAATATGAACTGCTATAAACCATAAAGATTTAGACATAAGGGGTAAGGTCTCCTTTGCTAATTAGTAGGAATACTCAGATAATCAGCTAATAGACTTAAAATAATCTGATCTGATTGGAAGCCAACAGTTCAATATACTGCAAGTAGGAGAATGATATTTTTTATGATAAATCTATAATATCGCAAAGGAAAAACAAAATATTTATCAACACATTGAATGTGAAATATATATATATAAAAAAGATGTATTGACATTCCTAACTAAAATACAATATAGAATGCTTCAGACATTTCAACCTTTATGCTTCAAATGCTTTAACCTTAAATTTATTATACATTTATTTTATTTAATATTCAATATATCCTTTACATTTAGGGAAGAAAACTTTTCTCAAATTCCTTTTTATGGTAACACATCAATTGACCGAATTTTGACTGTTTCTCTTGACCGAGGTTTGTGTTTATATCTACATATATTGCTTAGACAGTGGAAACATGAATAATTTCTCACTTTCATAACAGCAAACATCACTCATCAATATACTTCAGAAAATCTTCTGCACGCTATGACATTTTGTGGCTTTAGGTGTACTGAGGTTCTTGGAGTTTGAAAGCTGAGGGATGATACGCGGTATCTCCACATCATGTATAGAGATTCCTAATGTACCGTATTAAGCTTTATAAAGTGCCCTAAAGAATCCTGGAAAATGAAAGGATCAGACATCATTTTGTACCGCATGAGTCACACTTGAAAAGGGCGTGCTAAAGCAGCACACAACCCCCTTTCCGTCATTGTGACCATTCCAGTGAAGTGCACAGTTCATTGAGTGTAACTAATGCTTTCTTAGTAGCAGTCTTTTATTAGACTACAGAAGAGGTTCATCATTCTGGGTTTTCCATTATACAATTATACCCTGATGAATAATCAATTTCTTCAGGAGGAACAGGACTTTGTATATTACTTGTAGTTGAACTCTTGCTTATATATTAGCAAGTAGCAGCTAACGGTTTGTTCCCCAATGTCTAGCTATGCTAACTAGTACTGTGATGATATGATATGAAAATTATATGAAAGATAAGATTAATTGAAAAATAATAATACCTGTACAGAGTGCTAGTGTTGAGCAGAGGTCTTATGGTTTATACTCCTGGCACAGAGGAAGTAAATGAGTTACAGGCAAAGCTAGCATCACGCCCTGTCCAACCCAAATGGATTCAAAAGTGTGTACAGCAGCTAAACATTCAGGTAACCCTGCTTACAAAGTTAGATGAAATATAACATAGATGGTAAAGTTGAAGTAGATTGGCCTGTTATACTGAGAAATCACTGTATGTCCTACTTCAGAACAGAACCTTTCTTTAAAAAAAAAAAATACTGTGCAGAGCTAAATGTTGCATCTCCATAAATACCACATTCAAGTCAATATCCAAAAAAACATTTTTGAAGCAGTTGTGCAGGAAATACTTCATTATATCATTATTCATTAATTCACTTAATTATAGGGGGTCAAATACTGACAACCCAAGAGCAGCACATTTATTTACTACAAAGAAAAAGCCTCAATTTTTTCCCATTGTAGAATTCAGTAAAATAGTACAGAATTAAATATATAATTCTGGATTCATTTCTTAAAGCACTAATGTTAGAAATTTAAATATTTCCTTACGTGAAGCTAACATTTCTTTTCATTATCTTAAGTGAAACATACTTTAATTTAAAAGATTAGCTGCAGCTCTTGCAGTAGCGTGAACTGTAACAGACAGCGAGATGACCCAAGCTAGTCAAAACAGCATTGCCCTTCTGAATGGTTAATTGCCCCTTAGTTGTCTCGACGCGCCACAGTAGATAGTACATCATGCTAAAGTAGCAGCGTGCCCTTGAAGCCCCGCGCCGGTGCTTTCTGAGCGGCAGGAACACAGAAGGTACCTGGCATGGCATGTCGTTGCCCACTTGCACAAGAGCCCCAGAGAATGTGATCTTGGGCACATTGTTCCCCGTGAGATAATGGGGCCTTTTCAGAGCTCGGCTAAGGACTGCCGTGTCGCGAAGACAGAGAAAGACCCAAGAGGGGGGGGGGGGGGAGTTATATATCAGTGATCCATACCCTTTCTACCCCCTTTTCTCCTATTTCCCAAATCCATGTGCTTTTTTACTACTTTATCCACAGTGGTCATCAGGAGAAAAGGACATATTGAACTGACCTGTGGAGGTCTTCCACTGTACACTACCAACATTTCTGGGTGCCCCTGATGACCCACAAACTGCACTTGAATTGGCTGCACAAATAGGAATTGTCATCAAATGTATTTTATGTGTATTTTGTTAGAAATTAAGTATGAGTGAAAAGACCTATAGGTCTAGACTAAATAATAAACAACACAAAAAGTACTGAATTATGCAACATTTATGCATTTTAACTCCAAGAAAGCATGTTCATCCCGGTCAATACCTGAATCTAACCTTACACACTAAGAAAAGTGGGGTAGTGGTGTGATTTTGACGTTGTCTGCTGCTTACTTTGCTTGAAATAATGAAGAAAATCACCCCCGAATCCGTTATTCTCTTCCCTGGTTCACTAGGATGGTCAAATCAAGCATTCAAGTTGTCTTTACTTACATTGTCTGCCTGCTGTCTCCAAGAGGTTAGTGGCTCTCTTTAATTTCATTTGTTGAAGTACATTAATTGTTAAATATTAGAATGACATTTTACTCAAAAGTCGGTAATTAAATCGCTTTTAAAATGCTAACTGCACTTACAGAAAGCATTGTACCAAAGTTTAAGAGTAGGTTGGAGGTCTCAATGTCCTCCTTGAAGGATGAAGTACTTGTAAATAGTTCGACTGGCTGATAGACATAAGAAATACATTCATGACCGGAAGAGTCTAAGTAACAATACTGATTTAAATTTCTCCTTCCATCCTTTAGCTCTTTCTCAGAGTATCCTGTACCCTTTTGGACAGGCTTATGGAGATTTCGAAACTGCTAAGATGGATGATGGAAGCTCCCCAGAAGTGAATCTCCTCTTGCCATTCATCTTCTTCAGTGTTCCTTATCGCTCAATATTTGTGAGTTCCTTTAAAAACTATTGATCGTTATTTGCAGAACACATTCAAGCCTACTTACCAACAATTATGATTATGTTCCTGTAGGTGAACAACAATGGGGTCATCTCCTTCAATGTCCAGGTCAACCAGTTCACACCTGAGGCCTTCCCACTCACTGACAGCCGTTCCTTTATTGCGCCCTTTTGGGCGGACGTGCACAACGGCATTCGCGGTGATGTGTATTACCGTGAGAGCATCGACCCCCAACTCCTGGAGAGGGCCACCCAAGACATCCGCAAGTATTTCAAGGCCATGACCACCTTCAGTGCCACGTGGCTCTTCATCGCCACTTGGCATCAGGTCACATTTTATGGTGGCAGCCAGACCACACCAGTAAGGACGATTATCAATCTAGCTGTTCGATCCCATAAGAAGTATGTGATGGTTGAACATTTCAAATTCACAGTTACCTCAGGCATGATCCTCTCATGGTCTTCTCTGTTTTTTTCTCTGTGTCCGGGCAGGTGAACACATTTCAGGCTATACTCATTTCTGACGGTCTTTCCTACTTTACCATGTTTAACTATGGTGAGATTGCCTGGAGTACAGGCACTGCCAGCGGTGGGGACCCTCTCACAGGTTTGGGAGGTACCACAGCACAGGTAATCAGGAAGATATCCCAGGCAATCGAGCCTACATCAAACAACAATCAAAAGCAAAATACGTGGCTTAAAACTTAAACAAATCTAAACTCTGGTCAAATTAGTTTGTGTCAGCTTCTCTCCTATATTATCCCCTGCTATCCAGGCAGGTTTTAACGGTGGGGACATCAGCCGCTTCTTCAACCTGCCAGGATCACGTTCAAATGAAATTGTCAACATTGAGCAGACCACTAATGTCAACCAGCCTGGACGATGGCTCTTCCGAGTTGACGGTGACCTTATAGACCCAGCCAACGGGTGCAGTTATAACGGTAAAATGTTAACGTTGCTCATTTCTCTTTCTTGATTTTTTTTTTTTTTTTTGGAAGCCCAAGCTCATGTGTGTCTATAATTCTCCTTTAAATTCTAGGGAGGTTCTTCCGGCGTGGGGAAGTGTTTTGGTTATCTGACCAATGCTCTCAGAGGTGCCGCTGCTTGGATTTAGACAATGAGGTCATGTGTCAGGAAGCGCCGTGTGGACAGCTTGAAACCTGCGAGCAACAAGAAGGGGCGTACCACTGCCAACCCACCCGCACCAGTACCTGTGTGGTGTTTGGTGACCCCCACTACCACACCTTCGATGGCTTCCTCTATCACTTCCAGGGTACATGCTCTTACCTGTTGGCGCGGCCCTGCTGGGAGACTCCGGGATTGCCGTCCTTCAGTGTGGAGGCCAAAAACGAGAACCGTGGCGTTGCCTCGGTTTCTTGGCTGCGTGACATAACAGTGGAGATGTATGGTCACCGTGTCACCTTGCTCAGGAATAGCCAAGGCTCAGTGCAGGTGAGCTGACAACTTGACTGCAGGCTTGGTCCTTCCACAGCAGGCAAAAAAATGCTAAAAATCATCTGCATGCTTTTCAGAGCACAAGTAATTTCATGTAGCATTCATGATATGCAAGAGCTTTTTGTTTTTCTACATCTGCATGTTACTCACTTAACATTTACTAAAAATACACTCAATATTCTTTGCTAACAAATTTGCAGTATCTTTACCATTTGAGTACCTTTATTAACAAGAAAATGTCATATCTTTCATTCATCAATAACCTCCTTTAGCAGTTATAACAGCAGAGAAAATTTGAGGCATTGTTTCTACAAAGTACATTAAATACTATTCTGTCTCATGGGATGAACCAGTTAACTAGTGATTAGAAGTTAAAGGACAACTTAGAATTTGACTATGCCATCACCACACTGCCAGTTAATAGGATGTCAGACATGCACTGTTACATACTCTTGACTTATATTTTCATTTATAGTTGTTCACTCAACCTTCCAGTGCTTAACAAGAATAAAAAACCTGCAGTTTATGAAAAAAATTGAAAAGTGGTAAAAACCTTTGTCTGGTAGTGTATGAACAACATCACTCAAATATATTCCAAGTTTATAAGTAGTCAACGGGAAAAAGTGCAAATCTCTTGCAAAATCAAAAACTCCATGTGCTGCTCCGTGCCCCCTTCAGGTGGACGGTTTGATGAAGACCCTCCCCGTGCAGCTGCAGCTGGGGGCTGTCCGGGTCTATCAGTCCGGAGTGGCTGTAGCTGTGGAAACAGACTTCGGGCTGCTCGTGACCTACGACGGCCAGCACTATGCTTCCATCTCCTTGCCCAGCTCCTACTTCAACAATACTTGCGGCTTGTGCGGCAACTACAACGATGATCCGGCCGACGACCCCGTCCTGCCCGACGGCTCTCTGGCGGAGAGTGTGGTGGAGCTGGGGGGCAGCTGGCAGGTAGAGGACGCCGACTGGCGTTGTACAGACGGCTGCACCCACAACTGCAGCGTCTGTGACCCGGCCATCGAGTCCTTCTACTTTCGTTCTGACTACTGCGGCATCATCAATAAGACGGACGGGCCCTTTCGGGACTGTCGGGCAGTAGTGGACCCCACTGCCTTTGTGTACAGCTGTGTCTATGACATGTGCAGCAACCGGGACAACATCACCACCCTGTGCCAGGCCATCCAGGCGTACGCTTTGGCCTGCCAGGCCCTGGGCGTCACCATCCGCACCTGGAGGTCCCGGACCTTCTGTGGTGAGTTTCTCTCCTTTAATCTGTCCCATTATAACAGGCTACCAGCAGTTCTGTTAGGCCTATACACTACTGACTGGCTAATATTGTGGAAACACCTAGCATTTTTGGCATCACGCTTTAATAACTAATACATGAATACTGGAGGTAATCTTAATAAACAATCAAAGAATGCTTACAAATGTCATACATTGGTCAATTGAATAAGTTACTGGAGTAACTGGAATAAAGTTTTGCAGCTTCTAAAAATTAGAAATGTTTCCACAATTTTGGCCACTAGTGTAAATCTAAAAGTTTTCGATGAAAAAAAATGAGCCATGATAGAATTTTCCGAAATAAAATGACAGACGGTGCTTAGGAGTACTTTATGCCATAACCTTTTTCTTTTTTAACTTCTCAGTTTAGAAACTAACTTTTTTAATTTCCTCTAACTTTAATCCTGTGTAAGCCCTGCCATGCCCTGAGTTCAGCCACTATCAGGTATGCACCAGCAGCTGCCCTTCCTCCTGCTCGGATCTGACTTCTCACCTATACTGCGCCCACCCCTGCACCGAGGGATGCCAGTGTGACGACGGCTATGTGCTGAGCGGAAGCCGCTGCGTGAGGAGCGAGGACTGCGGCTGCGAGCGCGATGGACTCTACTACCTTCGAAATGAATCCTTCTGGGTGGCCGACAGCAACGGGGGCAGCGACTGCTCTCAGTACTGCACCTGCGGCCCGGACGGTGAGATCTCCTGCGTCAACGACTCCTGCACGGAAGGTGAGATCTGCACGGCCGAGCTGGGCCGGCTGGGCTGTTACCCTCGTCGGGAGGGCGTGTGCTCGGTCTCCCAGAACCAAGTGCTGTCCACCTTCGACGGCGCCACCCTCACGTTCCCCAACGAGAACTCCTACTTCCTGCTAAAACCTTGTGGAGCTTTGCCCCCCAATGTTTCGGCTGTGGAGGTCAAGATCGGCCGGAAGTTGATGAACAAGGGCCCCACGTGGGTGCGACCGATTATGGCCCGAGTAGTGAACTTGGAAGCACAGCTGGGTGGCTCCGATTTTGATGTTGTCAAGGTTAGTGCCATTATAATTTTAAATTGTATGACGGGCTGTAAGAATGGGGGTGGCACCGTGGCTCAGTAAGCAGCAAGGTTGCCTCACCCCTTCTGGGCTGGAGGCTTGAATTCTACCTGTTATGAAGGTTTCTAAAGAGGATTCCAGTGTCCTCTTGCAGTCCAAAGACATGCAGTTAGGCTGACTGGGGTCTCTAAAATTGCAGTGTATACGTGATTGTATGCATGTGTGTGCTCTGTGATGAAACTTCCATCCAGGCTGTGCCCCGGCCTAGTGCCATATGCTGCCTGGGACAGCCTATAGCTATTACTGGATAAATATTTGGAAGATTAAAAGAATGATCAGAAGTGGTACAAATACAGGATTGAACGTTAAAATTATTAAGCTAAAATACGGCAATTTCACTAAAGTGCCAGTACAAAACTAGTCCAAGCTTGCTGTAATGTAACTGGTCTATGTGATCTGTCACCTGCAGGTGAATGGGGAGCTTGTACCGTTACCCTACGTGCATCCTATGGAAACCCTAGTGATATACCGTGCCCCAGGTAATGCTACTGTGGCGGAGTGGACAGGCATGGTGAAGGTGCGCTACACCCGTCAAGGCTTTCTCAACATCACACTTTCCACACTGTACTACAACGCAACCTGCGGACTGTGCGGCTACTTTAACGGCAACGCCACCGACGACCTCCGGCTGCCCAACAGCCGGCTGGCGGAGAGCGCCGAGCTCTTCACCGAAGGCTGGCGGGCCATCGCCGATGACCTGACGTGCAACGGCGATTGCGAGGACCTGTACCGCATGTGCGTGGACCTGCGTCTCTATCAGAGCCCTTGGCTTTGCGGTACCATCAACGATCCCAATAACAGCACATTCCTGGCCTGCCACGATGCCGTCAACCCGTCCCCCTTTTTCCGCAACTGCTTATACAACATGTGCATTCGTGAGGGCAACCGCTCTGCACTCTGCTCCTCCCTGCAAGCCTATGCATCTGCCTGCCAAGACGCCCAGATCAACCTGGGACCATGGAGGAGTGCCACCAACTGCCGTATGTATCTAACAATCCTTCAAGAGCACCATAGCACACCAATACCAAGTGAAGTTAGTTTCTCATGTTATCTCCCAAGGCATCACTAATCAATTTCTGAAACAAGAGCCTTACAAATGATGAATCTAAAAACTTAAGTCACTAATGACCAAAATCGTGGAAATGCTTCCAATTTTTGGAGATCGCAGAACTTTATTCCAGTTACTCCAGCTCCTTTTTAAATCGTCCAATGTATGACATTTGGAACCTTCTTTGATTGTTTATAGATATTACCGCCAATATTCCTGCAGTAATTTTTAAAGCGTAGTGTCAAAAAAGCTAGATGTTTCCACACTTTTGGCCACTAGTGTACATTGATGTGTACCTTAATGTAGCACTTCAAGTATCATCCCTTCTCCTCATGTTCTTTCTCACTCCCGATTTGTGCTCCCACAGCCCTGCCTTGCCCCGAGAATAGCCACTTTGAGGAGTGTACCAGTGCCTGCCCTCTCACCTGCACTAGCATTGGGTTGGATGGTCCTTGTCCCCTACCTTGCTCTGAGGGCTGCCAGTGTGAAGAGGGCTTTGTGCTGAAGGATGGCCAGTGCATTCACAAGAGCGACTGTGGCTGCCTGCACCGTGGTCGACAGCTGGCTACCAATGAGACTTTCTGGACGGACTGGGAGTGCCAAGAGCGCTGCTTCTGCAACGGTGCCGACAACCGGGTCTATTGCCAGATTGCCCCATGCCACTCCGAGGAGTTCTGCCAAGAAGACTCCGGACTCTACTTCTGCCAACCGCGCACTGAGGCTGTGTGCATTGCTGCAGGATACAGTCACTTTCTGCCATTCACTGGCCTCCCCTTTGAGCTTCAGACCAGCTGCTCTCTCCGTCTTGTGACCACTAGCTGTGGCAGGGATGGGGATGAGTCTAGAGAAGAGGACAACAACAATGGCTTCCCACCATTCCAGCTGTTGGCAAGAAATGAGGATCGGGACACAGGACAAGCAATTTGGGTTCAAGGCTTTGTCCTCGAAGTGTATGACTATGAGATTGAGATCTCGAGGAATTACAAAAATACTGTTGTGGTAAGCTATCGAATCTGTCTAAGAAAGCCTATAATGCTAGGTTTCAGTCTCAAGGTCTCTGTTAGGAGCTGTCGGGCTAAGTGCTTCTGGAAGGATCAGTCAGCTAAGACGTAAATCAGTGGCCGTCTGTCACTTGATTTTGCACATGGATATTTAAAAGTTTACTATAACAGATTATTTTATGCATGGTACTAGTCAAATGTTTGGACGCACCAAGCCGCCTACAAAAGGAAAGTGACAGTGTTGCATCCATGACTTGGCCAACTGACCGAAACACAACCAGAAAGTGAAGTGTGTGTGTGTGTCTGTGTGTGGATGTGCGTGTCTATGAAAAGCATCTCAGGAGGCCACTTCATGAAACTGGTGTAGAGGAGACAGTAGGGTCAACCAGTCCCTGGGGCAACTGGGGTTAAGGGCCTTGCTCAGCGGCCCAATGGTGAGATCAATCTGCCAATCAGGGATTTGAAACAGCAACCTTGTGAGTGCCAACCCACAGAGCTGCCTCACCACCTACAATTTTTTTTTTCATATACAGCCATAGAAAAAATTAAGAGACCAATTAAATCCTGGTTTAATTTTGGTTCTGCTGGCAGAAGGCAACAGCAGGCTACTTCCAGGTTCAAAATTTCTAAGACAGCAGTTCACAAGAATAAGGTGAAGCAGGAGACACTGGGAATGACCAGAAACCAGCCAGGTAGAGGGCGGAAGCGACTCTCTAATGTCAGAGGTGAATATTAACTTATTTGACAGTCTCTTATGAATAGGAGGACGACATCAAGTGAGCTTCAAAAGGAATGGGATACATTAAGTGCAGGTGTGCACTGCTAGGACAGTTCATATCAAGCTCCTAGAAGCAGGACTGAAGTCCCATAAAACAAGGAAGAAGCCCTTCATTAATGAGAAGCAGGGAAGATCCAGGCCGGAGTTTGCAATATATATCATTCACAGACACACACCCATAAATTGAGAAATGAGTGAAACAAAAAAATTTTGCTGTGGTCTGTTAATTGTTTCCCACAGCTGTATCTTACTATATAGGTTTGATGTTTTTATTCTAAAATGTAGAGAATAGCACAAGTACACCTTACTATGGTAAGATGTGTCCAAACTTTTGACTGGTATTGAAAGAATGGTACAAATGATATCTGATAAAGGGGGGTTTCTCTTAAGCAAGGGATGCCTCACCTTGGCATTTTAATTCCTGAGGGAGGGAACAGTTCGGCCCTCCAGGTGTCAGTGCTCGGTGTACCCTGATAGAATTAACAATTATCTGCACTGAATGATCTCCTTTAACAGGTGAACAAGGAGCGTCTGTACCTACCACTGAAGTTGGGACCTGGGAAAGTCAACATATTCACTTTTGGGCTGCAGGTAGTGTTAGAGACAGACTTTGGGATGAAGGTGGCATTCGACTGGAGCACACTGCTCTTGTTGACTCTCCCACGCAATCTCTACAATTCCACTTGTGGGCTCTGCCAGGGCCTGCCCACAGGGTCCTACCCTAGCATCATGGAGTGGGGCAAGACTTGGGCTGAGCGAGATGCTTTCTGTCAAGTTGGCTGCAAGGATGCCTGTCCCCGTTGTGGCTTGCTTGAACGTGGAATAGCTTCAGACAATGGCCTGCTAGCTGACAATAACAATGGAAATGTCAATGCCAACAGCAATGCCAATAGCAATGCCAACAGCAATGGCAATAGCAATGCCTATAGCAATGCAAATAGCAATGCCAACAGCAATGGAAATTATAACTATGGCAGTTACAGCCTTAGCAATCCGAACTCCCGCTTCCATTTGGGAGATGGTCTTTATAGCTACGTAGAGCCAGAGGCTGTGCGACTGTGCGGCCGGATCATCGACAGGAGCGGCGTGTTCTCCCGCTGTCACAGCAAGGTGGCTCCTGCTTATTTCTACCAGAGCTGCCTGCAGGACACCTGTTTGGATCAGGGGGCACCGGAAACAATTTGCAACTGGCTGCAGATCTACGCTAGCACCTGTCAGACGCAAGGTGTCGCATTGATTGGCTGGAGGAATTTCACTCCTTGCAGTGAGTGAGCTCTCCCAGCGCCTCGCTTTAATGACATGTGCTATTAATGAAAAAAATCAGACCAATCACCTGTGGACCTTACGTCATGTGACTTTATAACACTTTTTTCCCCTTCCTCCCTAATGACACTCAGCCCTTACCTGCCCGATGAATAGTCACTACTCCAGCTGCATGTCTGTGTGCCAGCCCCAGTGTGCCCCAGGCCGTGGGCAGCGCGACTGCAACCACTACTGTGTGGAAGGGTGCCAGTGTGACCAGGGCTATGTGATTAATGGAAAGAGCTGCATCCTCAGTCAGAACTGTGGCTGCTATACTGATGGCAAGTACTATGAGGTAAGATGTCTTTCTTTACTACTGTCTTCCACGGACAGATATACAGTTTATTTTTTTTAAAGAATGATGAGTCCTTTATTTATCATTTGCACAAGTACAGGTGCACCTATATGCACCAGTACACTGTAATTCTTCTCTTTGCCTACCCCATCTTGCTATCCGAGAGGGGTAGTCACAAGGTGGGGCGGTCAGCCACCATGCAGTGCCCCCGCAGCTGGGGGTTAAGGCCTTGTCCAGTGGCCCACGGACATGTGACTCTGCTGCCAAGGCAGGGGCTTCAGCTGGTAGCTTCTGGTCACAAATACATAGCCACTCACCACCCCATTACCTTGGAGTTGCCCTTAAGAAGGACCTACTGGCAAGCCAGCCAATTTGCATATTGACCTACTTAATTATATTCAGAAGTCGGTCTTATTCTGTAATGTAAGCAAACTACAGCAATGCCCCTAATGCCATTTTAAGGATCTTAGGCTGCTTAACCCCCACATTGCTTCTTGCCGAATATTAATTCTTATTTAGGTGGGTCATGCCTGCACAAGCTGTAATGGAATTTTTCTCGCCTATCAGCCCGCATGCATCCCCAGGTCACATTCTCACTCTCCTTGCATGCTGTCATTCTCAGCCGAAGCAGCTCTTCTGGAACAGTGACTGCAACAAGCGATGCCAGTGCATCGGGCGCAATCTGATCCAGTGCGACCCCCGCCGCTGCAAGGCTGAGGAGGAGTGCGCACTGCGGCACGGCGTGAGAGGCTGCTTCCCCCGGCGCAGCCGGCACTGCTTAGCCTCGGGGGGTGGCGTCTTCCGTACCTTCGACGGAGCCTCGCTCCGTCTGCCGGCCTCCTGCTCTTTCGTCCTCTCCACCATCTGCCACAAGTTGCCGGAGCTCTCCTTCCAGCTCATTGCCAATTTCGACAAATGGACCACACCCAACCTCACCACCATCTCCCACGTCTATCTCTATATCAACGAGGAGAGCATTCTCATCTCTGGAAATACTGTCAAGGTTTGTGTTTAGTGACGAATCTTAGACTTAGCTAGATGATGAAGCAATAAGGAATATGGGCACGATTTTGATATGAGGGATCTTTGTATGAATAAGTGGTAGCTATAAGAATCAATAGAAAGGATTAAATCATTTAGGACATATATAAATATCTATGAGTTCTAATTGTAGTGACTGGCAGCATGAGACAATCCTTGAGACACAAGACAATCAGTTCTGAATAATTCCTATGGAGTACTTGTGTTGTAGGTTCAATGTGTTTGTATGAACTGTATGACGACTCTGCACTAGGTGAATGGTACGCCAGTCTCCGTTCCCTTTGTCACTGGTCTGATGACCAGGGTGTCCACGTCGGAGGGTTTCCTAGTCATCGACACTGTGCAGGACATCCAGGTGCGCTACAATCGCTTCAACACACTGAGCATCACCATGGGCCCAAGGCTGCAGAACAAGGTCTGTGGCCTCTGTGGAAACTTCAACGGGGATCCCACAGATGATTACATCACTTCCCGAGGAAAGGCGGCACTCAGTGCCCTCGAGCTAGCCCAGAGCTGGAAGACGAACGGCATGCAAAACAGGTGATGGAGGCACGGCAAATAAATCAAAAGGTTGCCTTATTGCCCTAATATAGGATTCTTACTAGAGAACCTCAGTTTAATTTTAGAACTCGGAACATTTTATTGCCTGTATGTACACCCTTGTGCAAATTAACTAAAACAAGTTCCACATATCAACATTTCAATATATATGATCTCCTCGGTTTTTTAGTAGCAGTTGGATGTGATTTGGCATAGAATCCAACAATTTTGAGCAGTCTTTGATGATCTTGGGGTACCGGTATCATACTTGAATTAATGTTTATCTTTTGTGGTATGGTCCATTCCATGGCGCTGCTTGCAGATTGACCTCTATAGGGTTTAAATCCAAAGAGTATCCAGGCCATTGAAGCACCTTGATTTTCTTCTTGTTGATGAAATTCCTCACCCTTTTTGACTTACAGCACAGGGCTAGATCATGCTGAACGATACCTGACCCATCAGGAAATGAAATGTAACAATGATGAAATTTCCTACATATGATGATGTAATCCCCAAACATTCAAAACATTACTAAAGAAGGTGTATTGTTGGCTTTCCACAACAAAACTGAAAATCCGACTGTGAAAACCAGACCAGAATTGGTTATGATTCGGTGCCAAACATGAAGTACAGGATGATATTACAAGACACATTAGAGAAACAGTTTAAAGTACCATATAGGCAAAATGAAACAGAATACAAATGGTAAATGTGTATTAAAACAATAGATTAGTATAAGAGTTCCATATGCAAATTACTGCAAAGTACAAGAGAAAATGTGTGCTATGAATAACAGAGGTGGAAAGTTCAGGACCAGAAAGTACAAATCCAGACCAAGGTTTTGTTTCAACTATATAGTTGAGTATAAAGAGTCACAATCACAGAGTACTCAAGTGGTTCTTTGAAACAAAACCTTGGTCTGCATTTGGACTTTCTGGACCCGAACTTTCCACCTCTGGGGGATAATGGGCAAGTTTCACAGATGCAGAACAGGCCAATAACCTGAACTAAATACAAAAATAAGTTGTTCACTGTAGTGTAAATTTACCGAAAATGCAAGTAGAAAATGGAGAGAAATGTCCAGACATGAGAATTGTCCCTCAACTGGGAGCACAATGGAGATGTTTAAAAAACCTTAAACTTATCTCCATTCTTTCTGTGGGTCCCCTTCAGCTGCGATGAGACTCAGTATGTGGCCCTGGCACAGTCGTGTGACAACAGCGCTGTTTCAGAGCTGCAGAGCGAAGACGCCTGCCTGAAACTCACCCAGATGAAAGGCTTCTTCCAGCCCTGCCATGGTTTGCTGGACCCCAGGCCTTTCTACCAGTCCTGTTACCTGGATGGTTGCTATAACCATCGCAAGGCGCAGGTGTGCGGCTCGCTGGCTGCGTACGCTGAGGCCTGCCGCTCCTTCGGCACCCTCAGCACCAAGTGGATCACTCAGGAGAACTGCTGTAAGGGGACAGCGCCACCCGTTGAGTAGCAAAGGCAATATTTGCCAAATGTCTTGAAATGACTTGTGCTAGAGTTAAGTAGAGATCAGAGCAAGCGTTTTGATAACAGTTGCTAGACGTAGGCAATATGTACTTAGATGGCTAATTTTGGGCATGGACCTGTATTTAGCAGAATGGATCTATGACCCCTGTGCTGGAGAGACCTGTTCTAACAACACCTGTGAACAAGAAAATGGAGGAGACCTTTGTGGCTGTCCAGAGCTGCCCATGACTGAGACCGGTGAGAACACCTCAGAGCGGGATTAGCAGAATAAACCATTCTGTGTCTGTTTTAATAAGAACAATCAGGCCTTTGTTCCTTTTCATCATCCTTTTGTCGTCTTTGACTCTTTGACTGACAGCTGATGACGACGTCATTCAAGCAGAGGTTACCTGCAAGCATGCTCAGATGGAGGTGTCCATCTCTAAGTGCAAACTGTTCCAACTGGGCTTTGAGCGAGAGGATGTGCGAATCAATGATCAGCAATGTCCGGGAATTGAGGGAGAGGATTTTATCTCCTTCCACATAAACAATACCAAGGGCCATTGTGGTTCCATTGTGCAGGTAGTACATTTTCTACTGAATATCAGTATTTCATTGAGGAGTTGCTGCCCTGAGTTGGACTTTGTGTGTAAGGTTGTTAAGTAACAGGTAATTCTGTTTCTCTTAGTCGAATGGCACTCACATAATGTATAAGAACACCGTGTGGATTGAGAGTGTCAACAACACAGGTAATGTCATCACACGGGATAAGACAATCAATGTGGAATTCTCCTGCGCCTATGAATTGGATATAAAAATATCCCTTGAGACGGTACTCAAGCCCATGCTGAGGTGAGAGATCACTTTGGGAGGTCTTATAAGATGACATAGTTTTTGAGCTTAGCCTCTTCCTCTTCTAAGGGAAATCAGGGTTGACATGATTGACTTCTGACCTTATGTTCTTAATCTTTGCACTCCTCTCCCTTCACTCTCTAGTGTGATAAACCTGACCTTACCCACTCAGGAGGGCAACTTCATCACCAAGATGGCCCTGTATAAGAATGCATCTTACCGCAACCCTTATCGTGAGGGTGAAGTAGTTCTCAGCACGCGGGATGTCCTGTTCGTGGGGGTCTTTGTAGAGGGAGCAGATAAGAACCAGCTCATCCTTATTGTCAACATGTGCTGGGCCACACCATCCAGATACAGCAGCGATCGTCTTCGCTACATCATCATTGAGAAAGGGTAGCTATTGAACACTTGTCACGAGCATTGTTCTGTAATTTATAATTTGATTCTCTCATGAAGCTATAAAGCTATTTCAGCTAAATTCTCTGTCTTTGCTGTAGTTTATAGAGCATAACTTGAATTGTAAACTCAAGTCAGAAATACGTATACTGCAGATGTCCAAACATCAAGGACAACACCATCGGTATGGCAGAGAATGGGGTGTCCCTGACGTGCCGCTTCCATGTAACAGTCTTCAAATTCATCGGGGATTATGATGAGGTGCACCTGCATTGTGACGTCTCGCTCTGCGACTCTGAAACAAACGCCTGTAAAGTGGTAAGGCCAATAAGATGGTCCTGCTCTCCATTTGAATAGTGCCATTGACCAATAGTCATTTTTGCTCAAATGCCATGGAAATTTAATAGATCAGGGCTATTCAAATCATGGACCTCAAGGGCCGAGCCCTGCTGATTTTCCTGCCTTCCTTTACCTGTGAGCCAGGTGTGAAGCCTCTGTGGCCAATCAGAATCAGTAATTATTAAACTAAATACCTGAGAGAACTGAAAACTAGGTCTGGATTTGGAACAATTAAATATTCTGGCTCAATAAAATATTTTTCTCGACCTATGAAGAATTTATGTTGTGCACGTGAAATTTGTGAAATTTTAAGGCTGTGTGTGAAGGCTTCAATGTGCCGGTTATTTTCTTCCCCATAGAACTGTCCACACAAAAGGAGGATGAGCTCAGAATATAGCGAACAAAAAGAGCACATTCTAACCGTGGGACCCATTAGGAGGAAAGGTCTGTAAGCCTGATACTGATACTCTCCTTGGTTTTTCATTGGCCTTTTGTTTTTAAAAATGTTCTTGCAGTGATCAGCTCCTTCTAAAATAATATAGATCTGCAAAATGCTACAAGTATCCAGTAAATTTAGTTTTTAAATATAGATCCTGCAGATTTTGGGTTTTCTTGTGCTGAAAATTACTTCAACATTATAAAATGGATTTTAATGCACTGTGTAATAATATACAATAGAGGCTAAAACTGTAGAAACTCCTCCAATTTTTATAGATTGCAGAATTGTATTCTAGTTATCCCAGTTACTTATTTAATCATCCAATGTATGACATTTGCAAAAATTCTTTGATTGTTTATAAACATTACCGCCAGTATTCATGTAGTAATTATTAAAGCATGATGCCAAAATTGCTAGGTGTTTCCAAAATTTTAGCCACTAGTGTACAATACTAAACAAAATTTGATTTGTTGCTTCTGGACACATTGTGGTGGTGGTTGTCCACGGCTCCTCCCCCACCTTAGAGTCTGATTGGTGTGAGGAAAACAATGGTGGGTGTGGCCAGATCTGCACCAGCCAGGTGACTGGGGCCGTGTGCAGCTGTGTGACCGGGACGCTGCAGCGTGATGGGAAGACCTGTTTAGGTGAGCTTGTCCCACCACCCAATTCAAGCAAAAACATCGCTTGCCATTTGAAATCTTTGCCCCCCCTCCCTCTACACAATACCCCGGATTATGGAAATTATGCAGATAATTGCAGTGCCAGTTTCAGACTTCAGATCTACAGCTCTGATAAGAAGTAAAATTGTCATTGCCATATCTTGCATAATTGCCAGCTGTCCTTGTGAACATCTAGAGTGCACACTCTCTGGAGTGCTCATCAGTGAAAGACGAACGAATTATACAACCTTTCTTCACCTTTTGGCAATTGTCAGTCATTGTCATAAAAGGCATGCATTTTGTATGCCACTTTTCTTACCATTGACTATTTCATGACAACTGCAGAAGTATAGTTCAAAAGGGTCTGCTAAGAACATTAATATCATTTTTTGTATCCCATGCAATTATGGGTTATGAAAACATTTTTAATTGCTTCTTGTCCAATACATTGCTTGCACAAACCTCTTTGCCTGCTATATTGAAACGTCAATCTGTGCCTGATGTTTTTTCTTTTTCCTTCCTTCTCAAAGTCGCCAGTTCCAGTGATGAGCCCCGACCATTAGTCCTGTTTCTGGTCTTCAGTGCTGCTGCTGGCAGCATCCTGGTGTCCATACATGCCTCCTTCTCCTGATCTGAGTGGGATAACAAGAAAGAGAGAGAGTGTGTGCATGGGAAAGGAGGAGAGCTTCAGGAAGGTTCTCACACCAGAAAAACCAACAGCAGAATCTACTGGGGTCACAACATCACAGCTATAGGTCGTGACACACACTGGCCGTCACCTCTGGACCGAAAATCAGTGGAAACCTTGGGCCACAGTTTCACTGCAATAATGGGAATGATAAAAAGCAAAACAGCAAATACTCAGAAAGATTAGAAATGAGAAACAACAGAGTATTATGGTAATAACACATTTTAGTGAACTAAACCTATATAGAAGTGTAAAGTATTTTGAGCCTGGGTCAGGCATAGTCGTCTTGTGTCGTCTGCCCTCACAGCACAGCTCAGTTGCCACAGTTGTCTATGCTTCATAGCACATATGTCCATGCTCAGACCTAGTCAAAGCAAACAAACTCCCTCAGACGGTTTTGACATCTGCAGCTGGATTATTAGCAGTATACAGTGTTTATGGATTATTTTTGACATTTTAAAGTAGCTCTGAACTGATTTACTCTGGGTTTCTGTATGAATCCTACAAATCTCCAACTGAAATGTTAAACAGTCCACGTACAAATATTTAATTTTGTATAAGATTTTGTATAACCTCCACATGGAACCAAATAAAGCCAAATGCAGACAGAAGTAGTATAAAGGGGACTGATACGGATAAGGAGACCATGAAAAAATAATCAAATGTAGCAAGTCAGTTTAGGATTTGAAGATCATTATTGACAAACGGAGCATTAATTATGAAACTAAACTCATCTTCAGTATGTAATGTTTGTATGGTATAAAGGGAATATTTTTAATTGAAAGGGGTCAGTCAAATAATGATGTGAAACAAATTTCATTTTATTTTCATAGCATATATGAGTTTTACAGTTCTCACAGAGAAGAGGAATTGAAGTCCCTGTTCTCAATGTACAAATGTATAGTTGGTTTTCTGATTTGCTTAAAACCAGCAATTATGGGAAATTCCAGAAAAATAAGGTAAAAATTATATTGTTATTGTACAACGATGTAAAAAAAAAACAACAACAAAGCAACTACATTAGTAAACTTAACATCAATGAATGACATAATATTGTCACTGTATTGTTTTAGATGTGGAAAAACCACATCACATGTTATAAAAGCATTATACAAGTGTGTCCATAATAAAATGAGTGATATTTACACCCTATGTGGCTTTAAAGAAATTATTTATTTCCATTTTTTAATTGTTTTTACCTGTCCTGTATGTTAACTCGCTGGCGTGCCATGCATACATATACACGTACACGGGTGAAAATGTTAGAAGGAGAGAAGAGGTTGTTGGTTAGACAAGATATAGTGCCTCCCGTAGCGGGTCACCTGGATTATTCACCTAACTACCTACCTACTTATCGGCGTCTCACCACTGCGGCAGCAGCAGCAACGCAAGCGCTTTACACGCGCCTTACAGTTAATCTATCATCGAAGTGTTTACTCCAGTCGCCATGGCAATCGCTTAGAAGGTGGTTCGGTAGCGACGTGGGTTGGGGGGGGAGTGTAAAATTCACCAATCAGCGCTGCAGGTTCCTAGCCGTTACGTCAGAGTTAAAGAGAGCGAAGACCGTTATTTTGTAATAAACTGGATATCAACTCGCGCCTTAAGCTTTAATACTAGAGAAAAAAACTGTGACATTTCCCAACGGTTGGGTCTGTGCTAATCTCTTGTGGAATTACGTTTTGGGAGAAGAAGAAGGCGTAATTTTACTTTTTACGACATAGAGCGATGCGTCTTTATTTTGACAGTAGTCTTACTATGAGCTCGGACCTTGAGGGTGAGAGCTCTGTCACCGCGACCACCGGCTGCTCGCTCCTCCTAGCGCTGCATGTTTCCCCACTTTCTTCTTTCTTTTCGTGTGTGTCTAGTAGTACTGTCTGTTCTTTTTGGGACGTAGCCAGAATCCGGCCGCGTGTGTGTGTGAGTGATGGAGTGTAATATTTTAACAGTACCGGGTGTACAGCTACAGTAACTGGCTAGCCGGGTAGCTAACGCGGTGCGTATAGCAGCAGCTGAATGTGGCGTCACCGGCTCGAGCCGGCCAACCTCAGTGGCTCGTTTCTTTTGGCAGATATATATCATACTAATAAACGACCAGCCAAACGGCAACGTGATATATCCAGGCGTTATGGGTCTTGGGAAAAAAAAACGTAAATTCTTGTCAATGTGTGAGTCAATCCGTTGCTGGCTTGTCAAGTCTAGGGGGTGAATATGTTCCTTCTGCTACCTCGGAGCTGACATCATCGCGATGAGTAACACTCCAGAAGCACTAGCTGGCCAGCTAGCCGCATTTCTTTCTCTATTTATTTATTTCCCCGCAGTTGCGTTGGCGTATCTGTCCTCAGAAGATACAACCAGCCCCTCTATCTGGCAAATGCGAAACTTTTGGGAAGAGAAGTCATCTGAGTGCTCCTAAAAAGTTGTGATTGTTTTATTTTATGTAACTGGAATGTTTTAAATTTCCATATTTTACTCTTGTCACCCATAAAACAGTGTATTTAAGATAATATTTAGCTTTGTAAAATTTACGCGAGTTTGTGTTGTTGCTCCTATTTCCCGGACTAAGCTCGAAACATTAAAATGTCCTGAAGGTTGGGGATGAAAGGATTGGTTCGTTTTTCTCATGGACGTTTCGCCTGTACCATTGTAATTCATAGAGGAAATCGGCAAAATGCTGTGCAGTCAAGGAAATGGTTTTTTACATAAATCAACGAGTAGGGATTGACGAAAGCAAAGTAGCTTGTGAATGAATAGCGCTCGCCCTCACGGTCATTGGCCCTTGGATCATGAACAATGTAGTTCTGCTTTAAGTGTTTTTGCCTGTGCTTTAAGAACGAATTGTAATTCCAGTGAGAACTTAGTGTCCTGCGCAGGTCGCGGGCCCCCGGTATATTTTCACCAGTTCTGCAACCTGATCTCCGGTTTTCTGGATTGTTCTTCTTATACAGTCCCTTAACTATTCCTTAGTTGTCTCTGCCAGGATAGCACCTGGCGCTCAGAGAGCTCTGCTGCTCTCACTGCACTTAGCTTATAGGCATGTTCAAGCTAGATGCCCAGGATGGCATTCCACGTTTTAATGAATTAAGTGGTGCTGAAGTTTAGCGGTACAGTGGGTCAGGCTGAAAAGTGCACAGTGCTGTCAGGTGTTCTCAGTCTAATTTGCAGTGAGCAACAATAACAATGGGGAAAAGAACTGATTGGGTGGGTGTAGGTAAGAGTTCCTGGTTGTCCTGATATTGGTGGTCCTTGTCACTTTTCCACAGGTCTGCACGGCAAGATGCCACTGTGCTGAGGGAGGATGAGTTGCCACACTGCTGCTTGCTGGCACTGAGAACAGCCTCTGCGAACACTGCAGGTAGACCGCGATCATGCAGTGGGCACTGGGGACATGCGGCCTGTATATGTCCCCTTAATCGGCCACCATTTTCACAGAGTAACTTAGCTATCCTGTCATACAGAGCGAGGGTAGCTGCTAATATCACAGACAGGGATCTGATCAAGCAACTGAGGAGGCCTTTGTGTTGAACAGTAATCCGGCTGCACATTTATACAAATACGTCAGTCATTTTTCTCACATTATAAGCAGGTCTTCTACTCCAGTTGGCCATGCTGGTGGTGCAGGGTAAAGGTGGTCCTATCATACATCACAACCACACTGTCTGTATATGCAATGCAACACAATTCACAATTTTTGTTCATATTGTTTTAGTGATAATTTTCCTTGTTCATTATACTCTTTTGAGTGATCGCATGTTGTAGTTCAGTTTTGCGTAAGCTGATCTGTGTTTTCTGGGCCAAGATGTCTGCCTAGATGGGCTGCAGCCAGGTAAGCTGGTTTCGCTGGTGGTTTCACTCAGCCAGCTTTGGAGACTCAAATGAGACTTGACCTCATCCACACTTATTCAGCCAAATGGAAAGGGATAAAAGGGATTTTTTGCAAGGTATGCATGCGAAAATGGAATAGGGTATTTAATGCGAAAGCCCTAAATGTGAAAAACAGTGGGGCAAATGGGGTATCTGTAGGGTAATTAAAGCCTTCACTCATTACAGTGATAAATTTTTAGTGTCCACATAAATGACTCACTAAGAGTGAATCGTGCCTTCCTCTTTGTCCTTTCTGGAATAAGCTCTGCATTACTGCAAGCTTAAATGGGTAAGCGGTTATTTTAAATGGATGGATGTTATGAAGGACACTGTAACTGGGCATTTTAGAAATCCCCTACTCAGTCGTATTGTGGCCAAGAATCTTATGCACCTCTTTCTGTCTAAGGGGGAGGTTCTCAAAAACCACAGTCCACTTTATCTTCAGGCCGCGGGAGCTGACGAGAGCAAGAGCATGTTTATGCATATTTTCAGCTTATAGCAGCATACCTTGGATTTGCAGGAGATGGTAGGATAAGTCGTTCATGAAGTACAGACAAATGCCCCGCAGACTCCTTTCTCTGTCTCTACACTTCCTTATTTTCCCTGTTTTAGAGTGGCTGGCCTATCTCATTCCCTCACACCCAGGTAAGTATAGTGATATCCAGGCTTTTACATCATTCACATTCAAGTAAACAGATTGACTGATTACCACCCCTTCAGTTTTTTATAAATAGTACCATCCTGGTTTGTGAGTCAGAACAGTTGACATTTCATTGTACATTTATTACATTTATTAATGTAATATGCTTGTTGGATTTGTTAGTCTCAGCAAGGAAAGGACCCTTTTGCTTTTGTTCTTTTTGTCCACGGGTCTGTGTGGCGAGTCAGCTTAGTTTCACCTTTACTGCAGTTCTCCTCTCTGTGGAACATGGGAACTTCTCAGGGTCAAGGCCTAGAAGCTATTGGAGTGCTGGTGGAACTGCTCATGTGACCATTAGCCATGGGTTCAGGTTTTTATTGTGGTTGTATTTAGGGATGCCCCAATCCACTTTTTAGTACCTCGGTCCTATCCATTCAATATTTATATCTACTGATTCCGAGTCCCAATTCGACCTTTTAATAAATATTTAAACATACATGCACATACAGTAGACGTCAGTGCATTCTTGCTCTGAGTCTCGCTATTTCACAGTATTCTTTCTTATAGTCTTTTCAAGTGTCATTAGATTTGTTGTATTAAATGACACTGTTGCTACTTCCTCTAGAAAGAATGACATTGCAAGCATTGCATGTAGCTGTTGGGCTACTTTGAGTTTTCAGTTTAAGGAATTTCCACATGGCTGACATCTCCATAGTTTGTAGTTTCAAGCCATATGCCTCAGGCTTATTGCAGTGTGTGATGGTACGTTACATTCTGTGCAACTAATGTACATTGGGTGAACACGGGAAATTAAATAGATGGGGTTTTGGATTGGACTGTGGTCTACGATACCGTTCAATTAAAAATGCCTGAATTGAACCTGATTCCAATCTTTGATATCTGCTTGGGACAACACTGCTTGTATTGTTCCACCATTCATTATGGGGCATAACTCAATTCAACTTTTAAGCTTTGTATTTTATTTCTGAGTTTAGCCATCTTATAAGAAACAAAATTATACTAATAAGGTAGTTTTGGTGCTTTGTGAGAAAGAAAGCAAGGTTATTTCTTGGGGAACGTGAGAAACATCCATCGTTGTAGGTGACAGGGAAATGGCAGTGGCACACTGTGTTTGTATCAGTGGGACGGAGCTTGTTAGCATGTAGTCATGGGAACCGCAGCGAGCGGAACCTCCAGGGAAGGCGAAAGGGAAAAAAAAAACGGCACGGTGGGTGTAAATGTGTGAGTGTTCTGCCATTGGACTTGAGCTGAATCAAGCAATTTAGGTCTGAGGTCGAATGGAAACCAGCAAACCATGAGTCTTGCAGGTCTGGAGTTGCCTCTTCCTATTGAGATGTAAACTAGAAACCATTGATTAACGTTGGGTCTTTTTTTGGTCTGAGTGTTTTGGAGGTATCGCTTGTATGTGCCCTTTGTGTTTGAGTTTAGATTAAATCTGACCTGTAGCTTGACATTGGACAGAATGAGGTTTTAGCCAGTCATTCGATGTTTAGCTAGTGTCATTGCGCTTAGCTTATGTTTCAGTTTGGCCGGTGTTTGTGTGCATGTTGTCTCCTACTTGCTTGCCTTTATTAAAATGTAGGAGGGAGAGTATTCCTGGAATAGCCTACTCCAGTGGCTTCAAAACACTCCACAGGCCTCTACCAGAAAGTCACGTGGTTCACTCACCTCTCAGCCCTGGAACAGACCTCATGGGGGGTGCTCGCTAAACCGTGCTTCTCTGATGTCCAATCCCAGCCTCCGTCACCCTTATCCCCAAAATGTTGTGACATTCACCAATAAATGTAAAAGTAATCCCAGCACATGTGGCGATCCGTGTCATGGCCAAGCCATCACCACCCCCCCCCCCCCCCCCCCCCCCCCCCCCCCCCCCCCCCCTTCTTGCTGGATCCGCACTAAGCAGCTCACCTTAGCTGGATGGCCTCCAGTTAGCTGCCTCCTCTCTGCCAGCTGAATTATTGATGCTCCCACAGTCCATGATGAGGGCTGGATTAAAGAAACTGGAGACCCCTCCCCCCCCAGCACCCTGCCACAACCAAGATCCCGGAGCGTATCGACAGCACCGGATACTTTTACTTATTCACATGCCGCAGTGGCTTGTGAACAAGGGCCTGTCTGTCTCCACAGGAACAAGCTGTGGCCCAGAAATGGGGAGGTTTTAATGGAGTCATTCCCAGTGCCCGGCAAACAGCTTATCTGCTGCTGTACCCCCCAACAAGCCTGCCAACTCTCACTTAGGAGCCGCTTACAGGGGTCCTTGTAGTCTTTATACTGCTAGCTTTGGTTATCTCATCTCCAGTTCTGTTCTCTGCTTGTTTGAAACAAGGAGAAAAATTATGGTCATAGTGATTGTTTTAGAGTAACCCTCAGGATTTGAGTTTGAACAGGTAACAGGTAACCAACATCAAGCAGAGCTCCAGACCTTACTGTGCTTCAATGTTGCATCTGATACTTTGAAGACTAGTTTTACTTGCTGATCTCAGCATACAGGCACATGATTAGTTTTCTAATAGTTTCCGTGATTCAATGGTTGCGTCCCCTTCTGGTTCTCACGTCTGTGGGGCACCTTGCTGCTGAAGTTCCACCTTTGTCACTCTGGGGGAACAGTGCCTGCTGTACATAAAAAGCAGGCAGTATGTGACCGAGCGGATCGATTTGAGGATGTTTTCGTTGAGAAAAGCCAGAAAAAACATACTCATAGGGAAAACAACAGCTGCTCCCTGGCGAAGGAGAGGACATTTACTGATGAAATGAGGAGCCTTTTCAGTGTCACTAACATAGTATTATCTCTTATTATTATTATGTACAATATTATTAATTTTCTCTCAGCCACCTCAGTTTTACATTGGCTTTAGCAATGTTATTAAATTTTAAATTGCCCTGGGGGTTAAATTTTCCAGTGGCCTGTACTACGAAGCGGGGTTACTGGCTTATCGGGGTAACTTGTCGGATTTAAGGTACCACAGTTTAAATGGATTTCATATTCATTCTCTTACATTTTGCCCAGACTACCTTAAATCCGACAGGTTACCCCGATAAGCCAGTAACCCCGCTTTGTAGTACAGGCCACAGGGTTGTGTGCTCTGGTTGCAGTTTACATGTTATCCCTGTGTTTCCCAGGTTTTCACCAGGCACTCCAGTTCGCTCCTGCAACCCAAACACATTAGTTGAACTGGCCCTTATAAATCGTTCTTTCAGTGCGTCACACTGGCGACCATTCTATGGTGTTTTCTGGTCTCTTGTGCCCTGTGCTGCCTAGAGGCCACCCTATGACCCCATCTAGGATGATTGGATGAAAGATAGATGGGCATATTATTATTACAATCAAAGTAGTTATAACGATGACTTCCCTCGTCTCCTCTCTTGCAGTCAATGTGGTCTGCCGCCGCGTCCCTGCGGCTGCCACTCCAGCATGTCTCGCATCACGTCCACAGCCAAGCGCTACGGCAACTCCTCCTACACCGGCCACTACACTTCGTACGGCTCCCCGCTGAGCTCGTACGCCGAGCACGAGCGGCTGGCCTACAAGAGTGCTCCGTCCAGCTACACGTCCCCCAGCTACCTGAACGCAGGCCGTGGCCGCCACTGCAGTGCATCCCCGGAGCCGGACCGTGGCCGGCCGCTGCCCCGGGGCGAACTGCTGAATGGACGTCGCAGCGAAAGCCTGAGCAGGGCGCCGATGAGGGACTATGGCCTTGGAGGCCTGAACGGGGGCGGGGGGTACCCTGCCTACAGCCATTCTCCAGCCAGGCCTGGCTATCTTTCCGCATCCCCGGGGGCCTCCCCCCGTCTATCCCTGAGCCGGCGCAGGTCCGTGAGCCAGACAGACCTGACGCGAGACCTGGCATCCCTGGTTCTAGCCGACCCCCCTGGCTCCCCAGGAACCAGCCGACAGGACTATGACGAGCCCCGGTCATCTGGCCGGAGCCGGGCAGGACAGACAATGGACGCCTTTCGCACTAGCCATTCTGGCTTTGCCATCGCACGCAGCTCCACGCAGGAGGCCATTGGCAGCACCAGCCGCTCGTGGGAGAGAGCCAGCACGGGTCGCCTTGTGTCCCCTGGCCCAGACAGTATGGTAAGATGCCTCAATGTCCCCTCCCGTTCACAGCTAGTTTGGGCCCTACTTTGAGGAAGGTGAATTCTGCGCAGATGCATCATTCATAGTTGTCATAGTTTATCTTGAACTGGGTCATGTCGGAAGTGTGCTGGTATGGTCTCGAAAGTGTCCACTAAGAGCTCGGAATAAAGTTCAATCTATTTGACATTCATAAATTCAAGGTGTGTCTGGGGATTGTACCTGCTACTTAGTTTAATCTTTATGTGAGCTTGGGGATGCGATTCCCGGCAAGTTATGCGAATTCTGTGCTGTTACTGTGTAAGCTTACAGTAGGCTTGCTGTACCCTTTTGTCAGTGGGTTCAGAATTGGGATTATAGCCGGTACTAGGTGATGTGCCAAAACTGAACCTGAATGTCGCACATCATGCTTCCCCACTTCCTTTTGCTGGCTAATTGCAGTGTTGTGAAACTGCAATTTGGAGAGAATGGACAGTAAATGACAATATTGACCAAAATAATTGTGATTATGATTTCTGCCATAATCAAGAAGCCCTAGGGTAGAATATTCTTGTTTCGCTGTGAAGGTTATTTTAGCTGAGAAGGTTCTTTCAGAAAGCACCGAAGAATTGTTCTGTGTTTAATTAAAACAGTTTCTTCTCTTTGTTCCTGGTAAGGCCAGAGGAATGGTCTGATAGTTATGACAGAAAGGGCTACGGCACTTTGATCTTCTGTGTTTAAAGAAGGCATTTGTAATGTAACTCTGTAATGTATTCTAGTGGGTGCATAAAGGGTTGCAGACATTTAGGTCTGACTCAGTACTTTTGGGTTTTTGCAGTCATGAGAAAATCCATCCAACCATCCATCTTTTAACCAGTTATCCTAGTGAGGGTTAGTGGGAAAGGGGAAAGAAGTCTGTCTTAGGCAGCACAGGGCGTAAGGCTGGTGGGTGGGATGATATTACATTGCAGGGCACAAACACACTCACTCATACATACAGTCATACATCATGGGCAATACAGACATCAGTCAGTCTCGATTTGTGTCTTTTGACTGTGGGAGAAAACCAGAGTACCTAGAGGAAACCCATGTAACATGGGCAGAACATGCATAGTTCACACACACAGAGTGGAGGCAAGGACAACACTACTGTCATGTACTGTAATGTAGATTTTCAACCTTTAGGTGGTGACATAGCTTCATTTAAACAACAAAGGACAGTAAATTCAGAGAAGCAGAAACATTATTGCTATACAACCAGGGCCAGTGGAAATTGTATTTGGTACAATTCTGTGATATTTTGGTTTAGTGGGTGCACAGACTTGATGTGTGATGTAATGATTTATATTCCATTAATATTGTATTGCCTTTTTGAAAGAAAAAAGAACACATGTACTGCAAGTGCATCATATATGCCCTGCAACTAAAGAAATATGTGTTCCAATGAAATATATCCAGAGGTGATTTCAGGTCCAGAGAGTACAATTCCAGACCAAGATTTTGTTTCAACCAACCAGTCATCTGTAACTGTGACTCTTTATATTCAACTAGTTTAATCTCTTAGTATATCTAACTTTCTACGTATCATATGGTGATAAAAAGATCTATAGCAGTACTGCCAACCTGCCACAGGGGGGGGACAGAAGCACAAGACAAAAGTTCAAAACAGAAAAACTTTCCAAAAAACTCAATTAAATGAAATAAGGTCCCTTTAAGATGGTGCTGACATACATAACAAACAAAATATAAAAAATACTGCAGACTCAAAGTGTTAATTTCAATCCCCAGTGGACGTAATACACTTTTGCCAGGAGGCTTTTACTGTTTCATATTTTGATGAGACCAGCAGTTTCTTTGGGGTCAGGGGGGTGTCATTTATATTATCATATTCCACTTTTATGTATAATAATTTTTGTATAGAACTGATTCTTTTTTTTCTTGTTTGTCCATCTTCAATAGCCATTAAGCCCACTAGAATGGTGCTGAATCGGTTCCTGTCCATCACCAGGCACACTTGGTCCTGTACATCACAGGTCTTTCCCATGCAGTTTATTTCCACTGATTTGCATAATGAATAATCACTGGTTCACTTTAACTATATCTTCAGACTCTAAGAAGCAACAGGAATACAGCTGTCCATTGACTTATGTCTGGATTTCGTCCTGGTAAGTGAGGACCTAAGTCAATCTGGATGTATCTCGATCGTTATAGGGGAGAAGTAACATATGCTGTATAACATAAGATTCAATATCACACATATTTAACTAAACCTCTATAGTGGCAGCACAATTGGTGTGTTTTGGTTCTTGCGACATGCCACACACTGGATAAAATATGTCCACTAACATCTCTTATGTCTGCTTTGGATATTTCTCGATAAATTTTATTAAGTATGATAGAACGTTACTCAATAGGATGGAAGTTGATGGATGACTGTGCGTGAATATTCACACAGAACTGGGGAATTTACAGATATGAAGGAAATCACCAGCAAAGAACACCACCCTCAGGATAGAAATGATACATATTAAAATAGTTTCAACCTATATTCCACATTTTCATTAATAGTTTTAGTCATCTAATGAATCTGTTGTTTATAGTTGCCTTGGATACCTTAATCCTTCATCCATTGGTTGGGAGTCCCTGGGAGCTTGCATACCTGTTCTAGAGAAGACAATGCCATCATTGCATGGCACAGTCAGGCCTGAGGGCTTGGGCGTTGTCCACATAATGCTTTCCGTTGATGCAAGCGAAGTGTAATGATGTGGAAGTGAGAGCTATCTCTGTCACAACCCTATTTCAAGGGCTGGGGCAACTGTGTGACAGGCCAGAAATAAACAGACATTATATATTGAACCTGTTTGATTGGGCGTGAGAAAGAATTCCTTCCGTCCCCTTGGTAACGTATTCTGTCAGCACAGCTAATGTTGCCTATCTGTTTAAATAACATGTACGGTCTTTAGGGCCGGGTTGTCAAGGTAAATTTAAATTCATTTTAAGGTCCCAAACTCATTACTACAACAATATTTATGGTGTGTGGTTAGCAAAGTATGGAGGTGGTAAACCCTAGCCCCCAAGGGGCTTGAGACCTGCAAGTTTTAGAGAATGAACCTTAATTAGAGCCTGACTCATGCGATTTCCTGAAGCATTTAAAGTTAAGCAAGTACTTTGCTTAAAGGTACATTGGCCACTTTGCTCTCGCAGCTGCCCTGCAACTATCTCGTTGCGAGTCTAGTTACAGAAATTGTGTCATTGTAACTGCATAAGGTGCATCTTCAGCCAGTCAACAGAGTTTGCTGCCAAGTCCTTCAGTGTTGAGCACAGTAGGATTTATGTCAGGGAAGATTTGGAGGCATCTCCTGTCATTTAGTTTTCAGTGTGACGTTACTTTTAGCTGAATGCTGTCTGAGCCCTACAGAGCTTGAGTGTTGAGGTCATCTCTGTATTAGCTCCATGGAAACCATCCTCCTGGGGTTACTGCAGAGGATTCTGAAATGTAGGTGCCAATCAAAACTCAATGAGTGATAAGGTGGTGGGTGGGACCTCGTGGGCACTAGGGGGTGGGGTTTAGTTATATGACATGGAGTGGCATTCATATTTGCATTTTTACCTAGAAATGAACTGCTAATTGCTAAAGAATGTCGTAAATGTGCCCTGCCACATGTGCAGCTGCAGTGTATGCTCTTGGTACTGAGGCCAGCACCAATTCACTTTGCTAGCTGTCTGCTAACTCAGTGCTTATGCCTCATGATTGCTGCTCCTGCATCACAGGTAATTCTTGTCATTCATCTGAACACTGCGCTCTATCCATAACATTGTGGCTCATTGGTGCTGGTTGTCTGACCTGTAGCCACCATCCGTGGGTCACCATGGGCACTGTCACAGTACAGAATCCGACTTCAGGTTGCAGTTAGGCGCAGGTGCAGCCAATGGTGTGCAGCTTCAGTTTTTGAGACAAGTCAACAGGGAGGCCAGTAATGAAGGCGGGGTTCCATTAAATTTGTGCCTTGAATGCTTACACTGTGTGGAAAATCTGAACCAATAATTAATAAATAAAACGTTAAATACAGTCTGAGGCATAATTCTTCTCATAATGAGTAATCTTGAACTTGACACAACAAAATTAGGTGGGGCTCATTATTAACTGGACAACTGAATTACTAAAAAAAACTTTTTACTACAACATTATTGTTATGAGACACACGTTATTGTTTTGCACGCGTTTATATCCATTGTCCATTTGATATGTGCGAACATATACAAACACACTTCTGTAATCCATCCACTCAGTCTGCCCCCAGCTGTTCTGCCCCTTTCCCTACAGCAGAACATCACCCCTGGCATTAGACTGCAGCAAGGCTCAGCAGTAACCTTGTTCCAGGCCATCATGCACCAGAGCTACGCAGTGCCTCTCAGAGCTATGCTTGTGCCTCTCAGAGCTATGCTTGTGCCTGTCAGAGCTTTGCAGTGTCTGTCAGAGCTATGCTAGTGTCTGTCAGAGCTATGCAGTGCCTGTCAGAGCTATACAGTGCTTGTAAAAGTTATGCAATGCCTGTCAGAGCTATGTTAGTGTCTGTCAAGAGCTATGCTGTGGCTGTCAGAGCTATGCAATGGCTGTTAGAGCTATGCAGTGCCTCTCCACTATGCATTGCCTCTCAGAGCTATGCAGTGCCTGTCAGAGCTATGCAGTGCTTGTAAGAGCTATGCAGTGCCTGTCAGAGCTATGTTAGTGTCTGTCAAGAGCTATGCAGTGCATGTCAGAGCCATGCAGTGCTTGTCAGAGCTATGCAGTGCCTGGCAGAGCTATGGTAGTGCCTGGCAGTGTTTGTGAGGGGAAAGTTTCTCCAGATTTAGTTCTGCCTATCTTGTTAGTGTGTAGAGATTCCCCACCATGTCACTTCGGTGCCTGGCACTTAGTTTGACCCCTTTGCTGCACAGCAAACTTCATTGGGTGCATTGGGGGCAGGTTCTGTATCCTTAAATTTCTTAGACCTGCAGACTGCTACCTGGGGTTGATATGT